AAAATAATATCGACTAATGATTTCAGGACAGTGGTGGGGCGCCAGAGCCAGGTCCCAGCTGCAACCACTGCAACCCTGGTAGTTCTCATGAAAATGCCAAGTACTCGAAAAGTATCGGTGCATCCCTAAATGTTACCATTTCATTCCTGCACTCCAGACCAACAATCATTCTCAAAGCTCTAGCAGTGTCTTGCAGGGCACACCAATGTGTTGCTGGTAGTGTAAAAGCCAAATCCACTCTCTCACAGTGGGACAAACATCTCTTCAACCGCCTGCAATTAGGTTCCCTTTCCAATTCTCACTGTAAAACCTTCCACCGGGAGCTTACTGAAAGTGGAATCACAGACCGAATAGTGGAGACCCAGGAGTACCAAGTAATAAAAGTTTAATCCACTTACATAAATAGGTTAAACGTGTTCCATCATCACACAAGAGTCTCTGGCTGTACTCTGCACACCTGCAGTTAGTGCATTTTCTTCCTGCCAACATATGTACTTGTGACACTTTTTTGTAGGCCATTGTTTTATTTTTCAAGTATTGCAGAAATGTTTTAAAGTGACAAATGGAAAACGGGTGTATTTTCAATAAAGTTTTATACTGAAATGCAGTAAGTGTGACGTGTACATCTAGCGTTCTTTCTCTCTTTTTTTTCCTTTATAACCCTGGCTGTCTTAAAAGAAAAACAAAACAAAAACTAAAACATTCAAAAATTATTATTTCAGATTTTCGTTTAAAGCTGAACACCAAGGAAATGTTATCTTAACCCTTGCAGTGGGGCTACCCCCGCACTGCAGGGGTTAAGTGTTTATATGTCTAGGCTCAAAAATAACAAAAGTTCTTCTCACATGATCCTCTGAGCCAGCATGCTCTTAGCCCGGTCCATGGAGTCTCTCTCACCCTCCTCTGCAGTGATGGTTCTCACGTCCTGTACACTGTGTATAGAATTCAGAGGAGGGGGAGAGAGGCTCCAGGGATTGGTCTAAGAGCAAGCCATCTCAGAGGATCGGGTGAGTATAACTTTGTTATTTTTGAATCTAGATACAAAGTACGTAACCCTTGCAGTACGGGTGTAGCCCCACTGCAAGATTTAATAAAACATTTCCTTGGAAAGCCTGGTGTTTCAGGGCTTGTAAAGCATCTTTCTTTTCCTGTGCAGCTGTGAGTTTTGGGAAGTCCTGCCAACCTTCGTGTGTTCCCCTCTTGTGGCTTTTGCCATGGTATAAAAAAAGTAATGAATGTACTACTTTTTTTCACCACAGTGCTTGGTATTGCAGTACTGCGCATTGTGCTGTGCTGCAATGCATGACTTCCAGGATGGCAATGCAACCCACTAATACTGCACCCTAGGTGTGCTGTGTAATGGCGTGTGCTAAGTAGACTAATGCGTTTAAGGCAATGCTGTGGTGTGAACAGACACAGCGTAATTCACAAAAGGGGGAAGAGTTTGGAGAAAGCAGGAGAAATAAACAATCTAGGACAACATAGATGAACTGGAAAGTGAGCTGAATTGGAGAATTTTTCCAAATCGGCTATGTTGTCCTAGATTGCTCACTTCTCCTGGCTTCTCCAAACTCTTCACCCTTTTGTGAATAACCCTTCTAGTGTTTTGTAGGCATTGGAAATTAAAACTACTTGCTAGTTCCTTATATCTTTTATGGATTCTGTATATTTCCTGGATCTGCACACCTGTTGATTCACTATTCAGTCCGTTGGATTGTTAAAAAATGTATTTTCACTACACTGCAATGCGAGGTATTGTGGTATTTCCGCCACAAGATACATTGGGGTGCCATTCAAATGAATGGCAACGTACCTACCTAGCAACCAGTACCACATGCTAGGAACGCTATGCGATGGGGTACAATAAATACATAAATAACATGCGTTTAGCACAGCACTAGGGTGTGAACAATACTGCATGTAACATGCTTCAGCAATTTGCAGTGCAATTCATTTTTTAATAGTACTGCAACTCGCTAAGGGAATACACATGAATTGCCACGTACTGCATTGCAAAAAATATCACATATCCATTTTTTGGGATGTTTTGGCGCGTTGCCAGCCCATTCTTGATGCAACACACATTAGCACACAAAGAAGGCGTGTTAAAGCAATGCAGCAGGATGCCAAGGTGTGAATTGGCTTTTGAATAAACAGCACATGATTAAACCTTTGAACTGGATACAGCAGCAGCAGCTTATCTAGAGCTTGCATTGAGCTAACAATAAAATACAACATTCTGATAGAGCATCAATATTCATTTATTTGATTAAAGTCTATAAAATACTTACTCAATTCCCCATGCTTAACACTGGTGTTTGAAAATTCTTTAGCTGTGCATTTCTGCTGACAGGGTCCCCTTTGAAGAAACATTTAACAATTGTCAAGCCCTTGCCCCAAGCAGTATGATAAGTGAATGCCAAGGGCATGATTGGACTATGAAGGCTAGAGGGGCCCCGGGATGGAAAGCATTTAGTTAGGTAATTCCTAACAATGACATTCTCTTATTTGATGCTTTTCAGTCTATTGATTGTCATATCTGCTGGATCAGTGCAAAAACATACTTGTTGATACCAGAAATCTTGTCAGCTGATAACCTCCTGTGCACCCTGCCTGGGCTGTTATCAGTTATATTGTTTGTGACTACCTCTGAGGACTACAGTCCTCTCCTCTGTGTAATGGGGAATCGGACAGGGAGAAGTGTATGTAGTCCTGTTCTAAGATGACAACACCACTGCTCCATAGATACAGTAGAATGAGGGAGCATCCTCCCCCTAGGACAGGAACTTTATTACTGGCAGGATCAGCAGGCACAAATAAAGGGAGAAAAGCCTGAAAAAAGAATATGAATGCAGGCCCCATATAGGATTGGTAAGCAGCAATATAGAACTTGAATTATTACTTCTAGTGGCTGCAGTTTAAGCAATCCCATATTTATATATTACGACATATATTGTTTAAGCGTGATGTTAAAGAGAACCTGTCAAAATAGATATAAAGCAAACTGCCATTGCTATTTTTTCCCCAAAGAGACATATCCAGGGCTGTCATCCTTATTCTTGCTTTACTATGTACTAAATCACCGACCCAGATCAATCATGTACATATCAGGTGTCCTGACAGGTCAGGGACTCAACAAGTTGCAAAGAAAGATATGGATGAGAGCCCAGGAGCACTCACCTTCAAAAGCAAATCAGCAACCACAGCTGCCATATTTCTTTAATGAGAGGTTCTTTTCTTCCCTATCTCCTTTTTGCTTACTTGTTGTTGCCATGATGCAAGTTATAGGAGGTTGCGGGTTGAAGGAGAAAAGTTATGTAAATGAGAATGCAATGTTCTGAAAGCTTTAGAGAGAATACAGGGAGCGCTGTTCCCCCCAGAAATACATTATTTACTATTTACTATTAACATTCTTTCAGCATCTACAGTATCTTCTTAGAACAAATAGCTTGGACAACTTGCTCTGTATAAACCTAGCAATATCAACGTAATGGGCAATAATGACTTGCTGCAATCCTCATTCTTCCAAAATACACAAAGGCTGGGTTCACACTGTTGCACTTCAGTAATTCTTAATAGCACCACAATGTAACTTGACAATGGACATTCGTTGCAGCACACCCCAATGCACAGTAATGCCCTACTGTGTGTTGCGGTGCGCTTGAAAAAAAAAAGTACATTCACCATTTTTGGTGCATTCTGCAGCCAATTCAAATGATTGGGCTGCTTTAACACACCAGCTGATAAAAACAACAAAAAAAACAAAAATAAAATGCCTCCATCACTCTCTTTCTTTATTGGACTGGGTCTGCTGTGACACTCATGCTTTAAAAGGTTCAAAAGAAGACACACCCGGGGAACACCAAACCAAATCTCAAATATAGATTATGCGTTTTCCAGTATAATAATGGCATATCATTAAAAAAAAATCAATATAATAAACATAAAAAATGTTGTGATAGGATTGTAATAAATACACATTTACAGTTGTATATGGAGATTAAGTATTTGCATTTGCTTATTATCTAGCATAACGCTATACTGTATATTGTGTATGTTTTTATAAATATGTTTTATTCAAAAATGTTATACATTTTGGTGGATGAAATGTAAGTATACAGTGACCTGCTATAAGTGTACATAATTCACACCCTACGTGCCACATACCTGTACATATTTGCACAGAATATATGTTTAGCAAAGTCCAAAAGATACCAAAATGCGACAACCAGAGGAAGTAAAAGGGATTTGTCTTTTTATTTTCCTATCCACACTGCAGAAACAATTTATTTACAAATAGGCAAAACACAGCTATTTTAAACATGTATGACCTTATATATAAATGAGTGCCAGCATAATTATGTTTCATTATTCAAATGCGGATGTTCTTTAGATCAGTGTTAATGTGCTCACGTTGAGTATAAAGTCTTTTTTCAGGCCGGAGGGAGCAAATGTCATTTTACAAAGAACATATTTAACACATTACAAATCAAGATACAAAGTGCAGTGACCCATTCCAACTCATTTTTCAATACTTCTGTAGTGAGGAAAGGTTAAATCGGGTTGCTATAGGACACTGCACTCTTGATATCATCATGTTTTTTGCACTTCAATATTAAATAGGCCTGATAATATTGCAATGTTTAATATCTACACGCAAAAGGTTATGGAAATGCCTAAGAATAGATTTAAAGTCAAGTAATAAGACTTCTGCCAAAAAATATATTTACACAAGGGGGCGGAGAGCCTTTTCTTCTGTGACATTTGTATAAATAATCTGAGCAAATTAATTTATCTTTTCATATATAATTGTCACTTAGGCAATGTCCCCTTAATATGTAGGCCACTATGGTCATGGTTTAAATTCAGTTTATTATTATAAAAAAAAAAAAAAAACACTTTAAATTGTCCTCTGTCCATATTATAGGAGACCCAAGAGGATCTTTCAAAAAAAGTCATCCCTTGGTAATCGGCCAAAATGGGAATGATGAAAAAGACAGTCACTCTTTTTTAATATTATCTATAGATGGGCCTGTACACTTCCCCTTTTTGTTTTGATGGGTTTTTGTATGTTTGGAAAGGTGATCACTCCTCATAAACCGCTTTCCACATTCTTGGCACCCAAAACGTTTCTCTCCTGTATGAGTCCTTAGATGCCGCTGAAGCTCATCAGATCTGGTGAAGCTTTTGCCACAGAAGACCCAGTTACAGATAAAAGGTCTTTCTCCAGCATGCCAGCGCAAATGGGCTTTGAGATGTGAGGTCTTTCCGTAAACTTTTCCACAACCTGGAAGATGGCAGATGTGAAGCTTCTTTTTCCCTGGTTCCTCATTGTTTGGAGAAGCCTGGCAGTTGGGGCACTTACACCTTCTACATCGTCTAGTGGAGCTTAGCAGAGTTTTGGAGGAGCTCGAGAGAAGTGCTGCAAGTTGAGGCTGTGGTCCCACCATCAAGGAGTTTGTCAAATGGAAGGAATGAAGGTTATTTGGATTTGTTTGTTGCAAACTCCACCAGGTCTGCTCATCCATGTGTGCTGTCTGAATGTGTCTTTGGGTCAAGGGTGTAGGGGTTTGCATAAAGCCAGAGAAGTCCTGAGTGATAGTGTTTGAGTCTTGGAAATGGTATGCATGGTTAGTTGGAACTTGTGGTGCCAATATCTTTACAGGAGACAAATCAAATGAGTAGACATTGGGGTCAGCTGGAGGAGTCAGTGGCAGCTCATGAGTTCCTACTGCCTGCATATGACTGGTATACTGAACTTTAGGGACACCAAAGGTCACAGCATGAGATCCCATTCCTGTGCTGGGAGGAACGTCATTTCCCCACAAAGGAAACATTGCTGGTGCTGCTCCAGCTGGGCTGGAAGAGGACTGTGAGTAATCCCAATGGTTTGGCTTAGGTGCAATTACTGAGCGACAGACTGAAGGGAGTACGTTCAGTGTTGGAAAGGGCCCTGTGTCCGGGGAGGAATTAGGGGTTCTATCCTAAAATACAAAAGGGAAAAAGGTAAGGTTACTGTGGATGGAAAATTGGCAGAAAAAAAACACCATATGCACTGCGTATACATACAAAGGAATTTATCTGATATGGCAAAAAGCAATCAGTCAAAAGCCATAATCACTAATCAGAAACCATGTTCATTGAACTAACTGCTCTAAAAACAGGAAAAGGTAAAATGGGGTGGGTTGTTATAGGCTGTGGCACACTACTTCTTTGCACCTCCTTATTGCTCAATAATGTAACCAAAAGAAATGAGTTGACATATCCTTTGTTAAAGCATCTCATGCCAAAGTAAAAACATTATAGAAAACAACATAATAACACCTCGTGTTTGACTACCAAATGTATGTGATTGTTTTGTTCATGTTATCAGGTACATAATATAAATATATTCCTATATATTATTTGGACTTGCAAGGGTAGCCACCCAACATGTCCAAAGAAACACGTATGACACGTCAGAATATAGTTGGTAAGGGTTGCTATTGACTAAAGCTGCCTACACATTTTACAGTCCAACTGTACCATCTGGTGCAATCTCCTTTAGATGTTCCAACAATTTGGTGGTGGTGGTTGGGGGGAGGGGTGTAACCTTTGTAATTCAATGCAATCTATTCAATTTATATTCAGTCAGGTAGGCCCTTAAGCTACAAAACTGCTGAGAAATCTAAAGGTGATTGCTCAATCAGGCTGTAATTTGTGTGGCCAACTTCACAGTTCCAGAGCAACTAACACAAACACCAAAGCTAAAGCCATACCTATACTGTTTAGATGTGCATCATAAACTTTGCAAAATGCAATAGCAAATGTAGTAATTTATTTTTCACAAGTATGCATGCCATTACACTGAATGAATAAGGAAAACAGGATAATAAACCTGGGACTGCTCATCATTGCAGGCAACCAAAAGGAAACATACATAACTGCATATACTCCTCTTACTAGGTCTTACCATAGTGTTCTGGGGTCTGCCAAATACTATAGCACCACAATGCGTTTTAGTGTGCAAATATACCCGAGGCTAAAAGTGATAAAGTGCTGATTTCACTGCCACTATCTTTTCACAAAGATAACCTATAATGAAGAATTAAGGTAAGCCAACATCTTGGAAGCGGAGAGTGTCTGAAAACCTTCATTATTAGAGTTAAACATTTTCTGAAATGTGGAGACGCTTAAAGGGACACTAAACTCAGGAGTTAAATCTTTAAATCACTTCCAGGTACCTTAACTATTAACAACAATGTATCTTATTTGTGTATCACTTGGCTGTAGATCATCAAATCCTCTGAATTCATTCTGACATTATTCTTCCTTCTAGAGGGTGGCTACTTATGTTCCTCATGGTCCATGTGTGTGTTGTAAAGTAGTCACAACTCCAAGATTACTCTTGTGATGGACTACAATCTCATGTTTACTTTACTCATTTCTATTTAGATTGTAGTCCATCACAGGAGTGATCTTGGACTGGTGGCTACTTAACAACACATACAAGGACCATGGGGAACAAAAGTAGCCACCCTCCAGAAGGAAGGACAGTGTCAGCATGAATTCAGACATGATTTAAGGAGCTACAGCCGAGTGATACACACATACGATACATTTTTGTTAATAGTTAAGGTACTTGAATGCATTTTTAAGGTTTAACTCCTGAGTTTAGTGTCACTTTAATAAAACTCCAAAAAAGTTATTTTATTATGCAGCATAAAGTCAAAGTCAAGTCTATATCTGATGCTGCTTTAGTCATTTAAAATAAATATGATCTACATAAGAGCAGGGCACCTAAAACTCTTTCCCTTTCCTGCATTTGTATTTTTAGGATTGAAATGTGAAACCAATGTCAAACATTTGTGGATAAAATCTTCAGCCAGCCTTACAGCCAGCTTCTGGAACACATTCTTGATGACTAGAGAACAAGTGGAATGTTACCTATAGCAATCAAAGTGATTGATCCATTTCCCTGAGCCACTAAAAAACAAGTCCTGGCAGGTTGCGAGGAGGAAAAGCAATGCTACATGGCTGGGTCTTATACACTGCATTGTGTGTGCACTCTGCTCCCTTTCTGGCCACATCAGCTTTGTAATAAACCCCATTAGTTACAGGTGACACAGAACGGAGAATGGAGATTGAGTGATTTCACTTCACTCCTGCAAATACATTGTAATGATAAATAAATGTTTTTTTTTTATCTTAACCAGAAATTAAATACAATTCATTTAATGGTGCACCACTATAACCAGCATGCCAAATACAATATGCTATGTATAGACGAGGGAATGCCACCACGTTACCTACTTGCTTTTGTTTCAAATATTACATTTTAGATTGTAAGCTCTCACAAGGAAGCACTTCTAATCCTCTCGTATGGTACATATAATTGTGTTGTAACTGTGCTGTCTCCCCTTATTTTTAAAAGCCCTGTGCAAACTGTTGGCACTGTATAAATTCTGTATAACAGGAATTGGCAAACTCAGGAATACATTCAGTGAATTGCCAACTTTTACAGCAGTTAAGAATCTCCTTTTACTAGGACAAATAAAAAAAGCTGTAAGCCGTAGAAAGCAGATTAGTTTTTCATTGGCAGTTTATTGTCTCATAAATGGTATAAACTGTAAAAGTAAAATGCTCTCACCAGCAGGACCCTCTCAACCATCTTGTATGAAATTGCATTGTAACTATACTGTCTTCCTTTATATTGTAAAGCTGCGCAAACTGTGGGCGCTATATAATTCTGTATACTAATCATAATAATGATAATGATGTGCATGTGTCCCAGACATCTTTCACTTCAATGTGTTAGAACCTTTCTCTCTCCTATGACCGGCCAAGTCTTAAAGGACTACCCCAAACTGTGATGCGATATACTCAGCTGGACCCAAGAAGAGGACCAGCCAAAAACCAACACCAGTGTCCGATAGTATAGTGCAATTCAACAATGTAGATATAATTTAGCAAAAACAAATAAAGGATTTCTGTATATGGATTAAAAAAAAACACATAGCCCTGAAGTTTCCTACAAAATATATTATAAGCAAAATATATTATCCTACAAAATATATTATAAGCAATTATTTCTTACCTGTAGATATGCCTGTAAAGTATGCTCTCTGTTAAGAAGGACCAGAGAAGCCATGAGGTTCAGTGTGCAGTTAGTGGTTGCTTTAAGTGGATCCTATCATCCCCAGATCAGAACTAGATGATTCTGTGCTCCCAACTCTCAGACACTGTTTGATCCTTCACAGTGCAAACTTTTTTTCCCCTTTTTTTTGACTAGCCATCAGCCAATCAGGAGTGTGTGTTAGCGTTGTCTTTGATGTGAGGAAGCTAACCAATCATTAAAATAGATTGAACCGTTTTCAAAGCAGGGTCTAGTTGAATCTTCCTTTAAATGCACAGACCCCCTGCTGGTGGTGTCTGTTATGTATGCATATGGAGGGCTCTGCTGCTATCAGGATGTATACAGGGGTTTTGTGGGGATCTTGTTTTTCTTCTATTTCATCTCTTTTAAAGCTGCGAGGGGTATCCTGAGCACATTTGTGGTCATTATAGGAAAGAATTGTGCAAAAGGAAACAACCTAGATATGCATGATACTGCTACACCAGAGGCCTAATTGTTCTGTCCCAAGGTACCCTCTGGCTGATGGAGGGTTAAAGTGGTTAATAAATTAATCTATTTCCAGTGAGGGTGAGCAGTCTGGTGCTGTGCTGCTAATAAAGAGCATCCGGTAAACATCTGTCATGTCAAAAATCACAGCACACGGTACCTGTCATGTTGTGCAGGGAAAATAGCTGTTTTATGTCACTGTTTACATCTTCTCTAGCCAGGCTGCTGCAACAGCAGTGAGAATGAGGATATCAGGCTGATCAAGGGCCAGGTATTGACAATTTCACTAAGCTGCCTAGATGCATGAGAATGCAAAAGGATGCTGTGATTAAGGAGCATCCTCCGAAAAAAATGGTTTCTTTCTGAAATAATATGATAAATATGGAATTGCAGAGAGTCTATAATTTTCACATCATTCATTTTTTATGTGTTACATTTTTAAACAGATCCTGATAAAATTCCTAGCTCTTTACATGGTGTAAAGCCAATAAGCAGTGACTGGCTGTTAGAAACATGTTAGAATTTTTTCGTGTGTGATGAGTACATCCGAGTTTTGCTCACCTTTATAAGGCCACATTGCTTACTGTAATTGTGCAGTGCATGGACACCTAGAGTTGGTGTAAATGTCTTTTAACTACTTCTAATGCCTATGTCTTCTACCTAACTCCTATGTCTGTCTTCTATCTACTCACTGCCAGAAGTGGTTTTAATATAACTGAAGGACATTATTGCAAGGGGCAGTGCAGGTGTAGCTATTCAGCAGCCTATTACAATCCCATTTTCTAGTGTAGGGCTTGAAGTGCACCAGACATGGTGATCATTTTGCTTCAGTACTTTCTGAGTCAGTGACCTGACTGCCTTCTTACCCATTGTGGTGCTTCCTTGGTTCTGGGTCAATGATTTGAAGAGCATTGAAGCCACAGACAAACATAATTTCATAGGAAAGTCTGATCTTTAATTTTACAATGATCAAATTCCTCCCTGTAGGGTCATTGTAAGGCTTAAGTGATGTTTAAATGGAGCACTTAGCAGGCAGTTCTCAATCGTGCCACCAAAATGCCCATATTAATGGAGTGTATTGAGAGTAATGGCTCAGAACACATGTGGGTCATTGATATTAGGTGGGTTGTGACACATTGGCCTGAATGTTATATGTACCATGTGTGCTACAGCTGCGTATTGAATTGCTGGACACCTATGACCGTGGATAGAATGCTACCTCAACAACACAGGGTGTTCAATCTTAATGGTGTAATGCAAGCATAATAATAATAAAAACTGAATTTGGATTTAGCAGTGTTAAGTTATTTGTTATTATTGGTAAGTCTAATATTACGTTTTGTTGAAGTTCTACAAAGATCATTATGAAACTGTTCCTAGGCCTCCTCTTTCACATCTGGTGTTTTTACACTTTACAGGTGAGGGTTTATTTCTATTCCCGTTATGTCTATTATGTTCTAATGTCAGTAAAGGTGCATTTCTATATGAAAGGAATGATTCAACTACTCCTATTGTTCCAGAACCTGTTCAGGGCAAGACTCTATCTTCACACACATTCAGCAGTTAAGTTTCTTGCCCTCAGCACCTGGAAGTAACACTTATTTAAACAGTAGTTACATTGTATTCTGTACACTATAACACAAGGCAATAACAATGTGATCTGCATGAGCATGTAATGGAAGAGGCAGCTCAATTACAATACAATACTGGGAAAAACAGCAAAAAATAAACACAAGACTGCTGTGCCAATTGAACTAGTAATGGTCTTTGTTTACCTGCCTTGTTAGATACATTTGACTGCGCACACTCCCAACTATGTATATTCTTTATATGTGTGGAGAAAATTTCAATTCAAAGGCATTATCCACTTTTAACAACAATGTGGAAAACGACTTGACTTGCAGCAGGATGGAGAATGGTAGGAGTCGCCTGCTCAGACCCCATTATCAGCTACTTGTTGACTTTAAAGTAAACCTGCCAATGCACACATTCCAATGCAACGTTTCAGTACTACAGTGAACCAAATGGTTCCTGCACATACCCTGGTCAAGCATATAAAGTTTTGGGCCGCATGTGGCCTCCTTACAACTTTTTTGCTGCTTTCACTTATTTAAAGTGACACTAAACTCAGGAATTTAATCTTAAAAATGCATTGAAGTACCCTAACTATTCACAAAAATGTGTCTTATTTGTGTATCACTCGGCTGTAGATCATCAAATCATCTCTGAATTTGTGCTGATACTGTCTTTCCTTCTGGAGGGTGGCTAATTTTGTTCCCCATGGTCCCTGCGTGTGTTGTTAAGTAGCCACCGCTCCAAGCTTGCTCACACACAAACAGTGCATCAGAAAAATGGTTTCAGGTGCATTTTTTCCTGTGTTGTGGTGCTTAATGCAATGCACACAATGCAATTTCACTTAGCATCACAGTGTAGTATAAATATGTGAATAGGTCCTAAACTAAAGTCATTTCAAGTTTTGTTTTTTTTATAAAAACATGTGAAAGAGATTAGTTTAGTACAGATAGTTTTATTAGTGCAAGTTAATGCTCTGTAAAAACATGTTTCTAAGTTTGATTTGTAAATATATATGTACACATGCAGAGACTCTTCTTCCTGCTTATTAGTGTTTTACAGTGATTGTGCTTGCTGATCCTTTCATCACATTGACAGGTTCTGCCAGTCTACAAGTGCTCATGCCACAGAAGCCTCTATTCTGGGCTCTGGCTCACACAATAAAAGTCGACAGTGCTTTATTTATTTTATAAAACGTATTATGAATTTTTCACAATATACATACATGCATGTAAGTTACATCTCCAGTAGGAGTAGGATGCCAGTGCTATATGCAAGAAATAAATACCATGTTTACTCAAATAATAATGAACGTGATTTAGTAATGCTGTTGATAAATGGGAATTGTAATGTCCACTGTAACCCAGCTACACTTGATAGAAACATATTAATTTATGTTAATTTAGTAAACATTTATTGTTTTGGTTCAAAGATTCCCTTTGAACTGTTCCAAAGATGACATCACTTTATAGAAGGGGGATGTGTTTGTCATTGTACTGCTTTTTCTTTGTGCTTTATTTTCTGTAAACTGTTACTATTGTTATGTCAATGTTTTCTTCATCCTATTTTTGCACCTGAACTCTCAGGAGTTGGATCCTAACAAAGTCAGCGCAAGAGCCTAATTAAGTCTTCTGCAGCATAAATCAAGCTGTTACTGAGCATTATAGCTGAAAGAGTTAAGGCTCCCAGGGAGCACAAATCAAGGGGAAGGGAAACTGTATCAAAGGGTTTTATTAAAAAGATAGAGAGAAGCATCTGTGTTTCTTTAAGGAGGCGGCTGGGAGTCCCTGTAACGTGTTTTATTGGGGAGAAGTTGTTAATTGCTCTGAGCACTGTCTTCCTGTCTTCATAGCATTGCCCAGCTGGGCTCTTTGATGTGCTAACAACACAAACAACATTTTGCAAATATTCCTTATTAGAAGAAAAGTGTATACCCCTCTCCAGCAGTAACTCATACAATCTCTGTTATTATACCATACTGTTTTGTATTGAACCGTGGAAGTTGATCTAATTTTTACTACTGCTATTCTAGGGAACTGGTATATACATTCATTTATTTTGAACCAGGGTAGGCTCGTCTGGCTATTTCTGGACAGTATATAGCTCTAGATATAATGTATATTTCTGCCAAAACACCCTCCATCAAACATAACTATGCACACTTCTATTCAATAAGTTCTGTTTACACCTGTACATGGCTATAGCATACTGCGATTCATGTAAAGGGCAGATGGGGACAGCTAAATTTAGTAGGATAGTTCTGGCTTCTGCAAGCACTAATTAGCGTAAGAAAACCTTATCTAATAACTGAGGCTGAAGTTTCAAGCTGGGTTCAAACTGTTGCGCTGTGAGAACATGTGTGTTAGTGCTCGCCTTACAGAAACATTCATGCTTCATGGCAGCCTAATGCACCTTGCCAACGGATGTGCATTGCAGCACACCACAGCATATGGTAATACACTAACGTGCATTGTGTTGGAAAAAGTACATGCACCTGTTTTGGTGCATTGGCAGATCATTTACACAAATGGTCTGCCTAAACTCAAATCACAATAACGTGCAGCATAATGCCCATCAACGCACTGCTGTAATGTGAACCCAGCCAAAGTATATGTGCATTTGCAGACTTCTAGTTATACTCTTATCATGGTGAAACAACAGGCTACTGGCTAAAATTTTCCAAACCGACTAATACCTTCTTCTAAAAGGTGTCTTTCCAAAGCATCCCAGTTATTGCTCAATCCTTCTAAAATTTCAGGTAGTAGATGATGCTCAATGTCCATGGAGACCTAAATGTATCTAATCTTCCATAGAAGAATTCTTGGAAATCAGATCAGAAATCAGTTTAATTTGTTCACCTGTGTTCCTTGTACATTGGTTCTGTTCATTTCTATGGCCCCTGTTCACAACTGAGCATTTTGTCGGGTGTTTTGTCACAAATTTTACCATTGAAGTCTATGGGACCAAAAAGCAATGTCATCTGCCAAAAAGTACCTCATGTACTTTTTCCAGCGACAGGCGTTTTTCTG